ACACAGTCGTGCCCTGGAGCGACTATGGCGCAAAACCAAATCCCAACAAGCCTTCACCCGCTACAAATCTGCCTTCCACACCTACACCTCCTCCCTCCACGCCGCCAAACAAGCCTACTTCCTGACCCTCTTCAAGGCTCTCTCCTCCCATCCTCGCCGACTCTTCTCCACCTTTAACTCCCTACTCTCTCCACCCCCACCTCCACCCAGCACCTCACTCACCGCCCTTGAGATTGCCAAAAACTTCAAAAACAAGATTGACACAATTCGCAAGGACATCGCCGCAACTCACACTCCCTCACAACCTGTCCCCACTCACACAGCTACCCCCTCATCACCCCTCTCCCTCGACACAACCCGCAGGGACTTCGTCACTGCTCAAACTCCCTCCAACCACGTCCCCTCTCACACAGCTACCTCCTCATCACCCCTTTCTCTCGGCCCCCCACCACTGCTCTGACCTCCACTTCCACCCTACCCAACATTCCTCATACTGAAGCCCCCTCAACACTCCACACCTTCCACCTTACTACCATCGAGGAAGTCTCCAAGGTCCTCTCTGATGCCTGCCTCACCACCTGCCCCCTCGACCCCATACCCTCGAAACTCCTACGACCTCCCTCCCCCTCCATCCTACGCTCCCTCACCCACATCTTTAATCGCTCCCTCACCTCCGGCACATTCCCCTCCCCTCTGAAGCATGCACACATCACCCCCATACTTAAAAAGCCCTCCCTGGACCCCAATGACCCGAACAAGCTCAGACAAATCTCCCTGCTCCCATTCACATCCAAACTCCTCGAGCGCTTAGTCTACACCTGCCTAAGCTCTCACCTCAACGACAACAACCTCCTCGATCCCCTACAGTCCGGCTTCCATCCCCTACACTCCACCAAAACTGCCTTACTCAAACTCTCCAATGACCTGCTAACCAAAGCTAATGGCCACTACTCAGTGCTCCTACTCCTTGACCTCTCTGCGGCCTTCGACACCATCGACCACCCCCTCCTCCTCAATAAACTACACTCCCTCGGCCTCAGAGATTCCGCTCTCTCCTGGCTCTCCTCCTACCTGTCACAACACTCTTTCAGCATTACCTATAACGCTACCACCTCCCCCTCACTCCCCCTCTCTGTTGGGGTCCCTCAAGGCTCCGTCCTCGGGCCCCTTCTCTTCTCCATCTACACCTCCTCCCTTGGCCAACTCATACACTCTCACGGCTTGAACTTCCACCTCTATGCTAACGACACACAAATCTATCTCTCAACCCCCCACCCCCTCAGTCTCCACCCGAATCACAAACTACTGAGCGACATATCAGACTGGATGTCGCTCCACTTCCTTAAACTGAACCTCTCCAAAACCGAGTTTCTTGTCTTCCCCCCAGCCCGCACACCACCCCCCACTGACTTCTCCATCACGTCCAACACCACCACCATCAAACCCGCCCCGCAGGCCAGAGTACTTGGTGTCATTCTGGATTCCAACCTATCCTTCCAGCCCCAAGTCCAATCATTAACTAACTCATGCAGACTCCATCTCCGCAACATCGCCAAAATCCGCACGTTCCTAACCCCAGAAACCACTAAACTGCTCATCCACTCCCTCATCATATCACGACTCGATTTCTGCAACTCCTTCCTCACTGGCCTGCCTCGCCGCAGGCTATCCCCGCTTCAGTCGATCCTGAATATGGCTTCCAGACTCATACACCTTACCAACTGCTCCGTTTCCGCCACCCTCCTCTGCCACTCCCTCCACTGGCTTCCGATTGCACAACGGATCAAATTCAAAATCCTAACACTGACGTACAAAGCTGTCCACCATACTGCCCCGAACTACATCACTGACCTAATATCCAAGTACCGCCCAACACGCACACTCCGCTCCTCACAAGACCTCCTTCTCTCTAGTTCCCTGGTCTCCTCCTCCCATGCTTGCCTCCAGGACTTCTCCAGGGTGTCACCCATCCTCTGGAACTCCCTGCCCCAACCCATCAGACTATCACCTACTCTCCTCTCCTTTAGGTGCACCCTGAAAACCCACCTCTTCAGGGAAGCCTACCCCACCCAGTGGCGAACTTGCCGATCTCCTCCACTCTTCCTACCACTTTATCCCCCACAGCTATCTCCTCTTGTACCACTATCCCCTCCCTCCTAGATTGTAAGCTCGAAAGAGCAGGGCTCTCGAACCCCTCATGTTTTGCATTGTATTGTTATTGTTCTGTCACATGTTCTGTCCCCCTTTGTAATGTACAGCGCTGAGCGAACTGTTGGCGCTTTATAAATACTGTATAATAATAATAAAAGTCCAATAAAGTTCATAAATACATGCACATATCGATCTGTGATGTCTTTGTGAACTTGAATCAACAATAATTCATGTATCTTGTGCACTTTTTCAATCCACCACCTCAACCTAGTAGTGCAACCTACTCCCGATGGTCACCACACTCATCAAAACAATTTGCCTCCCATTTTACTGACTGGCAAAAAGGCATTCCATAGATCTCCTCTTAAGTAGCTCAACTCCTTTAGGAATACATGATCAACTCTCCACAATCTCCATTATTTACTAGGACTCCAAAGAAAAGAGTGGCCCACGTAGCGTATTTCCATATAAGAATACATTTATTTAAAAAAAAGAAAGTACTTAAAATCACTCACAAAATTACTCTTTACATATTACCCATCAAAATATAATAGGACATCAGGTACGCCATAAACCGCCCAGCAAGCACACTTTCCCCACCATATCTGCCCATCAAACCGCATGGACATGGCGTCTGCGATCACTTATGATTTAAGGTGGCTGCAATGTTTTATAAGGACACTATAGTTGTATTATAATTTTTTTAGGTCTGCTCCTAAGCACAGGGCATTGGGAATTTTGAGTTTTTAATACTGTATACTGTATATTTAGATACTGACCTGAAACAAATATAAAGTCCAAACTGCTAATGAGCATATTTATTTTGATTTAGTGACTTTTAAAGGGACATCGTTGGATTAGCATGTCTGCCAAGGAAATAGTGTTTTCAGGAGAGTTCAACAATTGTAGCCCCCATATGTTTTTTCAATCTTTTAAAGTATCTCTAAAGACAAAACATTTTTTGGCCCCTTTCACACAAGCAGTCCATGAAAAACGGACAGGCAGACCCGATCCAAACCTCCATTCTTCTCTATGCAGGGGTGGATATAAATGGACTTGTGTCCGTTTACACCTGCCAACTTCCAATCCAATTCCATCAGGCCAGCTGGGATCAGAGGGTAGTTGAGTGTAAACAGATAGCCAGTCCCTTTACATCTAACTGCCCATAGAGCAGAGTAGGCTGTGTCCATGTCCACTCTGCATAAGCTCCTCTGGATCTGTCCACTGATCTCCTGCTGAGAAAAACAGACCTGGCCCCTGTGAAAGGGGCCTATACCTTGGGTAGAATAGGGAATAATTAAAATCTCAATCTCATATTATTTCATTTCCCATTTGGTGGATTTTGCTTCACTTCCTGTCCTATAAACACAAGTAGGATAAATCCCTTCTTAGACAGTTGTTACTGGATGTTTGTTTTTTACCCTCACTCATTCCCGGTGACTGTGGTCACCAGGATAAATAGAGGGGGTGAATCTTCCTAGCAGTGACATAAACACCAATGAAAACCTGACAAGGGTTTTAAGCCTTCCCCACTCTATCCATAACCAAGAAAAAAAAGTTGGAGTTTCAGATATTAGGTGACAGAGTACATGTGAAGTTTTGTTATCTCCCTCGTAACCCTCATAATCGACCTCATTTCAAAAGAAAAACAATCCTGTGTGTGCAAATGAATGCAGTTAGCAGGAAATAAAGTAGTTGTGAAAAATTCTCTTGCTTCATCTTCTGCAGAGGTTCATCAGGGTGCACTTCTCATTACAGCACCTATGGTCTATGCCCTAGGTAGGCCGCTAGAAGCTAAATGTACCCTTATTTAAAAGCATAATGTTCTTTATGATGTTTATATGGAAAGGTCTGCCTAGAAAAAAAAAACTAGTAAATATTAATTACATCTTGAAAACAAAAATTTAAATTGTAAATTCCTATTAACAAGAATCATTACAATAGTAATTCTAGTACGAGTTAAAATTGTACAGTACAAATTCTAGGACCTAGCATATAATGTAACCTTCTTCCAGAATGCTGCATTGAAAATAGGTTTTACACTGGATGTACTTCTGTTTGTGTTTTGTTGTTGATGGATGTTGTCTATTTTAGATGTCTTAAAGGTAAATCGTTGTTTCAAAGTGGAACTCAGTGCTCAAGGTCTGTCCTTGAAATTAAAAACCTTACTATTATAACAGCATCCCCCGTTGCCCTATTCCTTGTATTTATTCTACTCAGACTTGTTGGGAACATGTATGGAAGATACAGCCACAAGACAAAATCAGAGTAAGATGGCAGATTTTTTTAAATTAGTTTAAGAAACAAATGAAAAGGTCGGATATGCCATGCATACTCACCAAGTATACCATATTTTGTTATAGCATTAATGAGAAAGACTATAGTCTACACATTTCGGCAAAAATAGCCCCTGCCTTTTACCATGACAAATGTGTAAAGGGTCCCAACATCCGTATTTGTCCCACATGTGCCTACACCAGTCCTTCAAGGAATATTGATAAGAGGAGGCTGAACACTCCTCAACACACACAGCACAGTGTGCGGAGGTAAAGAGGATAGAAGAAAGACCCTCTCTATGGTTTTCTTCCACTATATTCTAATAAAATATAATTGCATGAAGTAGCTTAGACACCACTGCTGCTATTTTACCCTTCCTTTCAACATCACTAACATTACAGCAATTTGCTTATAATGCATCCCACATGCGTGCTACAAGAAAGGTTGCCATACAGGACCCCCATAGCTTTCCATGTTAGTCTTTTCAAGGCATGCTACTGTGTGTTACCATTTGCTCAATTTAGAATAACAATTAAGAACATTTTCCTTTTTTCGTTTATTTTATTTTGCAGATTGCAAATTCCCATAGAGAAGGAAAGTCAGAAGATCAGACACTAAAGCAATTTTTCAGCATTGTATGCAGTTAAAAAAAGGTTTGCATTTGCATTTTTTATTTCTAATTTATGTATGTTGGTCCAATTTCAAAATATCCAGATTTGGGAGATGTTTTATTAGATTTCTTAATTCTGATTGTTTTTTTTTTATTTCTTAGCTATCAGGCCATGTGTTTTCTCCAAAAAATACATTGTGTAAAATTCTCAGTATGTATTACTTTGGTAATATGGTGATTTAACTTTTTAAATGTGCAAACAAAAATAATCAAATTTTATAGTTCTCAAAAATACAAAGTTTCATACTTGCCATGTAATGATCCATTTAGCAAACCAGGCTATGTATTTAATAAGAGCTTAAAGAACTTTGTATTGAGAAGAATAGGGAATGGCTTCAAGGTAATTATTTGTTCAGCCGAAACCCAGCCTGTTCTCAGTTTGTCAGAAAGTTACAGTCTGATGTTTAAAAGTCTTCCTTTAGGAGCAGTAACACTACTGTCACTAAATGACATGATAGATCCATTGATCATATTTGGTCAATGATGTTACCCAGGATCCCTGGCACTGTTGTTAATAATCCAACAGCTAGGGGATCTCTCATTTGCGATAGTAGAAGTGGTGGTGGATCAATGTGGCAGCATATACCGATAAATATCAACAGGTTTCACTCATCATGATTTAGACATGATCTCTCTGTAAACTTTAAACATTTCAGTTCCCTGGCTATTCTGCCGACCCTCTGGCTTCAACGTTTGTATATTCTGTATATCAAGAAATTCAGAGAAAAGTCAGAAGTTCTTAACTAGATGTTTGTTATGATTCAGTAACTTGGAATGGACCTTCACTTCAAAATACCCATTTGCCTAATTGTATTCCTCCCCCTGCTTAATCTAAAAAAGCCAACTTTTTTTTGTGTGTTCATTTCCTTTTTTTGGCTCTTTGGTACACCCTGCCCAACTGCCTCCATTCTTACCTAGATGAGAATAATGTCACCCTGCTCCTGCAGCCTTCTGAGGTTGTCACATCAGGCATCCCAAGAGGCATTTGGCTGAAGCTTCACATTGAATGGAAGCAGAAAGATCTTTGTGCTGTATTATCAAGGGGGCAGCTGGAAGAAATTGCAAATGACAGCTGGCTCCCAATGAGGTAGAAAGTAAGATGCAAGGTGTGTCACAGTGGAGGGGCGAACGACAACAGATCAACGCTGGATTCATTGGGCATGTGAGTATGTTTATTGAAGGCGACCCAACATAAGAGGGAATAGGAAAAAAAATAAAGTAGGTGGGTGAAGTTTTACTTTAACTGCTTTCCCGCCGCCCTATAGCAGAAATACTGTAACATGGTGGCAGGGCTGAGGAAAATCGCTTATATATAAATGATTTTGCATTTCCGGGTAGGGGGCGCACGCGAGCCACACAAGTGCCCTACCCGCACTGCTATTCACGACCCCGGCTGTCAATCACCGGGTCCCGGCCGGTGACTACTCGCCGTCACTCAGTGATCACTAAGTATTGCTGACGAGGGGAGATAACTGTATGTAAACAATACAGTTCTCTCCCGTCAGCTCCTGCACACTGCTTTGTATGTCTCTGCATAGCAGTGTGCTTACAGTGGAAAGCACAAACACAGCTTACAGTAAAACAGCACACAGAGCACAGATAACCCTTTGATCGCCCCAGATGTTAACCCCTTCCTACCCAGTGTCATTAGTACAGTGTCAGTGCTTTTTATTAGCACTAATCACTGTATTGGTGTCACTGGGGATGTCAGTGACACCAAGTCAGTACCCCCCAGTGGCGGAATGCTCGCCTCAGTCCTGCTATGAGTCACTGATCGCCGCCATTACTAGTAAAATAAAAATGTAAAAATTCCACTATCTATACCGCCATTTGTAAACGCTATAACTTTCACGTAAACCAATTAATTTACAAATATTGGGATTTTTTTTTAGCAAAGACACGTAGCAGAATACATTTTGGCCTAAATTTAAGACAAAATTTGATTGTTTACATTTTTTTACTGGACATGTTTATTAGCAAAAAGTAAAAAATATTTTTTTTCTCAAAATTGTTGGTCTTTTTTTTTTAAGCACAAAAAATAAAAAACACACACGCGATAACATACCTTCAAAAGAAAACTCTATTCGTGGGAAAAAAAGGATGTAACTTTAATTTGGGTGCAGCGTTGCATGACCACACAATTGTCAGTTAAAGTACCGCAGCGCTATAATGTAAAAAATGGCCTGGTCAGGAAGGGGGGTAAACTCTCAGGAGGGTGAGTGGTTAAAGTGTTGAGGGAAGAGGGTCAACATTACACCCAAGCAACTGGCATTTGCAAAATGCAAAGTCAGAATGGCAGCCTCTATGTTTCTATATAGAAAGGCTTACTTTATAGTAAAGCTTTTCTTTGACAGCGTAGCACAAAATAAATTAATTACTTAATTTCCCCCTTCCCAGCTGTACAAGCTCACCTTTCCTTTGCTCCCACACTACTCTGCATGCCAGTAATACACTGGCACCAGAGCCAGACTTAGGGGGGTGCTGGGGTGGGCTGTGCCCCCCTTCCCCCAGGTCTCTGAGAGTTCATCCTCTAATCCATGACCCAGTCTGTTGCAGACATTTGTAAGGGGGCCCTCTGATGAAGACACTGGATGTAAGGGGGCACATTGATGAAGACATGCGATGTAAGGGAGCACTCTGATGAAGACACTGGATGTAAGGAGGCACTCTGATGAAGACACTGGATGTAAGGGGGCACTCTGATGAAGACACTGGATGTAAGGGGGCACTCTGGTGAAGACAATGGATGTAAGGAGGCACTCTGATGAAGACACTGGATGTAAGGGGGCACTCTGATGAAGACACTGGATGTAAGGGGGCACTCTGGTGAAGACAATGGATGTAAGGGGGCACACTGATGAAGACATGCGATGTAAGGGAGCACTCTGATGAAGACACTGGATGTAAGGAGGCACTCTGATGAAGACACTGGATGTAAGGGGGCACACTGATGAAGACATGCGATGTAAGGGAGCACTCTGATGAAGACACTGGATGTAAGGAGGCACTCTGATGAAGACACTGGATGTAAGGGGGCACTCTGATGAAGACACTGGATGTAAGGGGGCACTCTGGTGAAGACAATGGATGTAAGGGGGCACACTGATGAAGACATGCAATGTAAGGGATGACTCTGATGAAGACACTGGATGTAAGGAGGCACTCTGATGAAGACACTGGATGTAAGGGGGCACTCTGATGAAGACACTGGATGTAAGGGGGCACTCTAATGAAGACACTGGATGTAAGGGGGCACTCTGATGAAGACACTGGATGTAAGTGGGCACTCTGATTAGACACTGGATGTAAGGGGGCACACTGATGAAGACACTGGATGTAAAGGGAGCACTCTGATGAAGACACTGGATGTAAGGAGGCACTCTGATGAAGACACTGGATGTAAGGGGGCACACTGATGAAGACATGCGATGTAAGGGAGCACTCTGATGAAGACACTGGATGTAAGGAGGCACTCTGATGAAGACACTGGATGTAAGGGGGCACTCTGATGAAGACACTGGATGTAAGGGGGCACTCTGGTGAAGACAATGGATGTAAGGGGGCACACTGATGAAGACATGCAATGTAAGGGATGACTCTGATGAAGACACTGGATGTAAGGAGGCCCTCTGATGAAGACACTGGATGTAAGGGGGCACTCTGATGAAGACACTGGATGTAAGGGGGCACTCTAATGAAGACACTGGATGTAAGGGGGCACTCTGATGAAGACACTGGATGTAAGTGGGCACTCTGATTAGACACTGGATGTGAGGGGGCACTCTGATGAAGACACTGGATGTAAAGGGAGCACTCTGATGAAGACACTGGATGTAAGGAGGCACTCTGATGAAGACACTGGATGTAAGGGGGCACACTGATGAAGACATGCGATGTAAGGGAGCACTCTGATGAAGACACTGGATGTAAGGAGGCACTCTGATGAAGACACTGGATGTAAGGGGGCACTCTGATGAAGACACTGGATGTAAGGGGGCACTCTGGTGAAGACAATGGATGTAAGGGGGCACACTGATGAAGACATGCAATGTAAGGGAGCACTCTGATGAAGACACTGGATGTAAGGAGGCACTCTGATGAAGACACTGGATGTAAGGGGGCACTCTGATGAAGACACTGGATGTAAGGGGGCACTCTGATGAAGACACTGGATGTAAGGGGGCACTCTGATGAAGACACTGGATGTAAAGGGGGCACTCTGATGAAGACACTGGATGTAAAGGGGGCACTCTGATGAAGACACTGGATGTAAGGAGGCACTCTGATGAAGACACTGGATGTAAGGGGCACTCTGATGGGGATTACTGATCATATTTATAGGGACACTCTGATGAAGAAAGTTGATGTTAGGGGGGAACTTTATTAGGAACAATTGATGTAAAGGGGCACTCTGATGGGGACACCTGATATAAAGGGGCACTCTGATGGGTCACCTGATGAAAGTTGGCACTCAGATGGGGACCCTGATGTAAAGGGGCACTCTGTGGGGACACCTGATGTAAGGGGGCACTCTGATGGGAACACCTGATATAAGGGGGCATTCTGATGGGGACACCTGATATAAGGGGGCACTCTGATGGGAACACCTGAGGTAAAGGAGGACTGACTGTAATAATGACATCTGATATAAGAGGGCACAGGTTTTGTTTAATCACCCTAATCTAATGACAACCTAACACATAATAGTGTTTTCCGAGGTAGTGAGACTTTGTTACAGACTGCCAGTGACTCACACACATGCCCTCTGACTTTTTTTTATTACACCCCCAGATCAGATAGACTAGATCAGGCCCTGCCGGGCACTTCCAATTATGGGTCTGTGACTCACTTACCCTGCCCTGTGTAACAATGCTAGTTGCTTTTTATTGCCCATCAGTGCCAACACTGAGTTTGAACCAGTATTTTAATTATAAAAAAAAAAAAAAATCCTGTCCCAATCACACTAAAAGTATTCTGGTACAAAAAAAATCAAAGTATTTGCAAATGCAGAAAAGGTGCTTCTTCCAACTGTGTGTATTTTTTTATGCTACATTGAAAAAATAACAAAAAATTAATGAAAAAAGTAAAAAAAAAAAAAAGTATTAATAAAAACAAACTGATTTGAAACATATTCGCTAAGGGGAAAAGGGGTTAGAAAGAGTTAGTTAGGGATGATTAGGTTCAAAAAAGTTACATAGGAAATAAATTTTATTTTCTTTTACTTGTAAGGTTTCTTGAACAGATGTCATATGCAGATCAAATTTGACACCTACATATGAATAAAGTAGTAACTACCATGTGACAATATATTGAATACACTGAATTAATGATGCTTGCCAACTATCTTCAAGTGCCATTATACACAGCTGCATTTTGACAACAGCTCCAGCTTTGTAATACATAGCAATTCCCAGATGTCATTTTTACAACTAGTAATTGCTAGCAGTAGCATTGGGGAAAAGTGGGAATCCCAATGTTTTCTCCCTTTTAGGCGGCTGTATAAAAGCCATTATTGTGTTGCATATTGATAAGACTTTCTCTGAAGAAGGGAAAATAGTTTATGAAAACAATGGATATGCTCCAGAATATTTTGTACAATTGATGAACAAATAGGCCTGTATAGGACTTTGTTAAGTATGAGCTACGCCCCATTTATTTATGATAAGTTACTAGTAAACTAGTAAAGTTAGTAGGAGATAATTGTCATCCTAAGGGAAGAAAACTCTTCTGAGTTACAAGAACAGTCATGTTCAAGAATATATATTTTGGTAGACGCAGTGGCGTTGTTTTATTAAAGGCACAGACTGTGCAGTTGCAATCTGTAAGTGCAGTTGATCCAAAGCTTAGTAAATGAGGGGGAGCTCTAATGACTTCCATCATCCAATCATGTGCAAGCAAAAATGCTGTTTTTTTTTCCTTGCACGTGATCAGGTATTCTTTACAAAGTGAAGCTTCACCTCATTTACTAGACTCTGGAGCAACAACAGTTGATTTGCCTTTAGTAAATCAACCCCACTATTTCCTTATACATAGTTAGGTTACATTTTATTTGTTTATTTCAGGTACTTGTATAGCGCCATCAATTTACACAGCGCTTTTACATATATATTGTACATTCACATCAGTCCCTAACCCTCAAGAGGCATACAATCTAAGGTCCCTAACTTACATTCATCCACATACTAGGGTCAATTTAGACAGGATCCAATTAACTTACCAGCATGTCTTTGGCGTGTGGGAGGAAACCGGAGTACCCGGGGGGAAACCCACACAGAACATGCAAACTCCAGGAAGGTGGTGCCTTGGTTGGAATTGAAACCAATGACCCTTGTACTGCCAGGCAGAAGTACTAACCATTAAGCCACTGTGCTGGCCATTAAGCCAATGCTGTAGTATTATTTGTCAGTATCATTTATGTAAACGTAATTCAGAGCATTTTTTATGACTGCAGCTTAATTGCATTGTTGTAAAAGGTCACCATTAGTTAGGAATATGTTTCCCATCACATTTCTTATTGTTTAAGGACTATGCTTTTGGTTGTCTCAAGTGGGGCAAACCATAGGGCAGCAATCCAAGTGCATTATGCAGCACAACCCTTACTTCAATCCAGGGGTTCCAGGTTAAAATAGACTTGTACTACAAAAAAAAAAAAAAAATTAAACTGATTGGCAAGATTGGTGGTTTTGAGATAAGAGATAGTGGGCTTGATTTACTAAAGGCAAATAAATGGTTCACGTTATAAGGACATTATCCCTTGGTAAAACCTGCTGGCCTCCATCATCCAATTATGTCTGAGCAAAGAAATTTTTTTTTCTTTGCTCATGATTGGGTATTCTTTGCAAAGTGAAATTTCATCACATTCACTAAGCTCTGGGGAAAATTCCCTTTCGAAGTGCAACTTCCCTGCACACTATTTACCTTTAGTAAATCAACCTCATTGCAACTAGAAGGAAATGTTTCTTATGGTTTCTATTTTCTGTCAGTTAGATTGGTTTAGTAGTTTATTTCCAGAGAGACAAGGTACACTTTAAGACTAGATGCTGCTCAGACTCCATTCATTTGGTTAACTTCATTCATCTGGCAACACAGAGGATCTACATTCAAATGTGACCAGACAAATCTGAGCCCTATCTTGCTTTATGTTACATATCAATGACAATATAGCAGAACCGTCTACTGGCTGAAGATTTTTATATGATATTGTAATAGCGAAAAATTGTTTTGTTGGAAGGTTTCCTTACTTGTAATATAACAATCTTGCACTCATATTATTCCATTACTATGCATCACTCGACAAAATCTGATACAGAATCAATTCACTCAATTATGGAAACAAAAACATGAGTCAATATACATACTGAAGGTAAATGTTTAGCTATTGTTACTAGTGAAGCTACGCATGTCCTACATATTCAGCCATTTTTACTGATAATGTAATATAATTACTAGTTGATAGAGATTTGTAAATAATGGCCCTTTTTCAGGGAAATGCAGAGGAAATTAGATAACAGCATGTACAGAAATCACTGCAGTTCATGTTAATAAGAAAAACATTTCAATTCATTATGTTATCAGTTTTATCCTTGGTCCTTGCATGTCATTAAAACAGCAAAATATGTACCGTATTTTTTGCTCCATAAGACGCACCTAGATTTAAGAGGAGGAAAACAAGAGATAAAATATCCTGAGCCAATGGACTGCAGACATAGTACAGGAAATGACCAGAGACTGCGGACATACTACAGGAAATGACCAGAGACTGCGGACATACTACAGGAGATGACCAGAGACTGCGGACATACTACAGGAGATGACCAGAGACTGCGGACATAGTACTGGAGATGACCAGAGACTGCAGACACAGTACAGGAGATGACCAGAGACTGCGGACACAGTACAGGAGATGACCAGAGACTGCGGACATACTACAGGAGATGACCAGAGACTGCGGGCATAGTGCAGGAGATGACCAGAGACTGCGGATGTACTACCTGAGATGACCAGAGACTGCGGACATAGTACTGGAGATGACCAGAGACTGCGGACTTAGTACTGGAGATGACCAGAGGCTGTAGACATATTCTACAGGAGATGACCAGAGACTGCGGACGTACTACAGGAGATGACCAGAGACTGCAGACATAGTACAGGAGATGACCAGAGACTGAAGACCTTTGGAGAGTGGGGGGGAGGCGGGTACCCTAATTTGACAGGTATCCGCTCCCACTTCCACGGAGTTGTCCTCCCTCCATCCCCATAGTCTTCTGGGACACGTGACAGGTCCCAGAAGACTACAGGTGGCCATTCACAAAGTGCAGAGCTTCTCATGCATGCATAGTGGACACCCGGCTGTGAAGCCGCAAGCCGCACACTGAAGATGCCGGTGCCGGGAAGAGAAGACAGCCAGTGAAAGCAGGACACCGCTGGACTGAGGAACAGGTTCTTCTGCACAGTAGAGCTCAGAGGCCGGCCAGGTATTCTAACATGGCTGAGGTAGAATACCGGGCCGGTAACTCCATATTCGCTCCAAAAGACACACAGACATTTCCCCCCATTTTTTGATGAAAAAAAGTGCATCTTATGGAGTGAAAAATACGGTATGTATTGTGTATCTATATAGTATATTATATATAGTTATGTAAACAATTAGCTAATTATTATGAGTTAAGTATATCAAATGACTCACAGAGGATTTGTCAATCTAAATTCTCCTTTGGTGCGTAATTTTGTGCTTATCTGATATTTGTGGTAGGCTGACTGTATAAAATAAATGAAAAAAAAAAAGTAACCCAACAATAACCTTCATTTTATCTCTTTCAGTCAGGCAAATAAAACTGAAACCTTGCAATGGCTGACCTACCCACTTCTCAAACAATCAGCACCAAAAACTCTAAAATAGCAAGCCAGGAAGTGATCTGGTGCATTAGGGAAGCACACGTTATGCTATGACAAAGATGGACTTAAAGTCCAAAATAAAACAATGCACAATTCTTTCAGTGACCAAAGCATAGTCAAAATTTCCTAGTTTTTAGAAAAATCTTATAGTTAAAAAAAAGATGTCCTTTCTGGTCACGGGCAGTCTAGGTAGCTAAAAACATTTTTAAGAGGTGTATGTCATCAGCCTTTCTTTAGCAAAATCAAGCTTTCATAAAACTCTGTATCCCCTGATACAATTGATATTTTCCTGATGTTTGTTCTACTGGAGTGTTTGCATGAAGCAGAAAAAATGCTAGAATGTCAGTAATAAAAGCAGCTACATTTTTATAGTATTCCAATGGTGTATCTTTTTAAAGAGTAGCACTTTCTGGTGCCTGTACTCAAAATAATTTTTTGTTTATTTTATGGAGTTAAAAAAAATCTGTCTTCCTATTTGGTGTGTTGTTTTACTTGTTTCAGTTGGATTGTACTTTACATTTTAGAAATGCAGGAAAAATGACATACCAACTGGATCAGTGGATGCAAAATTTGCTAACAAGTTGTTTCTCGTTAAGCTATGGAGAGGATATTAATCTCCCAAAAAGCATCTGGAAGGCAGAGGGCTTCCTAAATTACTTGTGAGCAGGAATTGATGGGTACCTTTTTTAACATTTATTCTTCTCACAGTGTAACTTTTTTTTGCACAAATCATTGGGTCTGCACATTAAACCTTTAGGATTGCACTAAAGCTGTACCCCAGTCAAACAGCTAAATACACAGATGAAATACATATAAAAGAGATGTTTTACCTGCTAAAGAATTTGTATTTCTGTCCACACAGTTCTGAGATTTACATAGATCTTACACACAACACAGCCCCGTCTGGCAGGGCAGGAGACCTGCTTTTTTTTTCTTATTTAAAGTTAGTGTCACTAAACCCACATCATAAAAAACTATCAATAAATGCTGTATCACTTTCTGTACATCCCCACTCACTAAGGGGTTTGCTTTCTGTATTCTGCAAAAAACCCTACTTGATCCTGCTGTTCTATATCTCCTCCTTCTGTCCAAGTCCCCAGTCCAGCTAGGGATTTTGCAGAGCAGTGCCAGCAGCTCTGCACATGCTCAGTTTATCAGTGAGTTTCTATGCTGAGCATTTCTTCTTTATCATATCTGCCCATGCCCACAGCAGCCCATGTGACTATAGTCTCACACAGTGGTAAATGAGAACCCACTCCCTCCATTCTCCTCCATGCCCACTAACTAGCTAAACACAAAGGCGGTGGGATATTACATGTAGATTGATGGAGGTCTCACCTCCCTGTTATTCTAAGACGCAGGCTGGAGGGACATGAAACATCCTGTGACTGACAGAAATCCACATCATGTTATTGCCAAAAAATAATAAAGATTTTATTTTAAAAAAAAAAGTATATATATATATATATATATATATATATATATAACAATTTAAAACAGTTTATTGAAAATAATTATTTATTTTTACTCTGTATTGCAAAGGCTGTTTTTTCATTAAATTTTGAACATGTCACTAACAGCATAGGACTAGAAGCTTCCCCTGCTTATGTTTCCCTGCAGAAAGCCTGGGAAAGAGCTAGGTCATGTGACAGCTGTATATTTTATATATATTAGGAAAAAGGTACTTAGATGGGGTTTTTTTTAAATACAAAAATTACATTGTCATCATCCATATACAGAAACAGAAAGGAAAATGTAAATTAAATAGTGTGTGCTTAGTATCACTTTAAAGTGTTACTAACCCCAGGACCCTGCATTCACTATATCTGGTCTCCCACATTACACAGAACATGGAAGTGCAATTATTTTAGTAAATATAAACTGCTAAATACCTTTTCTCATCAGCAGTATATAGTAGTGGCTTCTATCAGTGTCCAGCACTGGTTAAAGCTTGTAGGAGGAGTTTTCATTTTCAGGATCCCTGACCTCTGTCTGGACAGTGCTGATCGGCCCTGTGCTGATCACATGCACTCTCCCAAGAGCAAAAAAACCTCTCAAGCAATACACACCAAACTGAACATGTGCAAAGTATCTCCACACGATATGTCTTATTAGGAGATAAGAGGGGGACACTGGAAGAAGGGGAGGCTCAGAGAAGTCAGGATCAAACAGCGTTTTTACACAATGCAGAGGATTAACCCCTTGGGTTCCACAGTGAGTATAACAAGCATGCTTTACTGCATATACAGCCTGATTTTACTGTTGTGGGTTTAGTAACGCTTTAAACAACACTTACAGGTCTTATTCCTTCCCAGTCCTTGATTAGACATTGAAGGAGAAGCAGCAGAGCAAAGAGCTTATCTCATTGTTACTCTGTTCTATCCTCTAATTGACATGCTTTCTGTTAGCAATGTAGCACAAATGATTGGCTCCTTATGCTGCTTCATCCTCTCTGTGCAAGCTCTGCTGTATGGAGACTACAAAAGGTTGATACCAAGCATAATTCAGGTAGGTACACTGCCTGCATTTAAAAACATAAATTGTACTTTTGTTTTCACCTTTGGACATTGTGTACACTGTTTACTATCCAATGATATTATTATGCCTTTGTAGATACACTATATTGCAAAAAACTAATTAGTCATCCCTCCAAATCATTGGATTCAGGTGTTGCAATCACCTCCATGGCCACAGGAGTATAAAATCAAGCACCTAGGCATGCAGACTGCTTCTACAAACATTTGTGAAAGAATGGGTCTGTCTCAGGAGCTCAGTGAATTTAAGTGTGCTACTGTGATAGGTTGCCACCTGTACAATAAGTCCATCCGTGAGCTTTCTTTGCTACTAAATATTCTACGGTCAGCTGTTAGTGGTATTAAAACAAAGAAAAAGCAACTGGGAACAACAGCAACTCAGCCACAAGTTGGTAGGCCACGTAAAATGATAGAGCGGGGTCAGCACATGCTGAAGCACACAGTGCGCAGAAGTCACCAAACAGTCTGCAGAGTCAATAGCTAAAGACCTCCAAACTTCATGTGGCCTTCAGATCAGCACAACAACAGTGAGTAGAGAGCTTCATGGAATGGGTTTCCATGACCGAGCAGCTGCATCCAAGGCTTACATCCCCAAGTGCAATGCAAAGATGCAGTGGTGTAAAGCACGCCACCACTAGAGCAGTGGAGACATGTTCTCTAGAGTGATGAATCATGCTTCTCTGTCTGGCAATCCGATAGATGTGTCTGGGCTTTGTCGATTGCCAGGAGAACGGTACTTGCCTGACTGCATTGTGGCAAGTGTAAAGTTTGATGGAGGGGGAATTATGGTGTGGGGTTGTTTTTAGGGGTTGGGCTTGGCAACCTAAGTTCCAGTGAAAGGAACACTTAAGGCATAAACATAAAAAGACATTTTGGATAAGTTCATGCTCCCAACTTTGTGGGAACAATTTGGGGATGGCCCCTTCCTGTTCCAACATGACTGTGCACCAGTGCACAAAGCAAGGTCCATAAAGACATGGATGAATGAGTTTGGGGTGGAGGAACTTAACTGTCCTAACCTCAACCCGATAGACCACTTTTGGGATGAATTAGAGCAGAGACTGCGAGCCAGGCCTTCTCATCCAACATACGCGCTTCTGGAATAATGGTCAAACATTCCCATAGTCACACTCCTAAACCTTGTGGACAGCCTTCCCAGAAGAGTTGAAGCTGTTATAGCTACAAAGGGTGGGCCAACTGAATATTGAACCCTATGGACTAAGACTGGAATGCCATTACAGTTCATGTGCATGTAAAGGCAGGCGTCCCAATACTTTTGGCAATATAATGTATATTGTTGATTGTGTGGTGTACGTTTATTTTTATTGGACTATACTTAATCTAAAACATTCAATAAATAGATTGACATATAAAAACATAAATTTAATGATGTATTAATACAAATGCTGAAACAAATGATACTTGCTGTTAACTGATACCACCTTAAAAAATTACTGCAGGAGGAAGATACCGTAATTGTCAGCACACAACATATGAGGTCCAGTACTTGGTATTTTTTAGGCACAGACGTGTCCATGCAGAAAACTCCAAAACAGTTCCCAGTAGCTGAGTTGAGGTTTCTAATTAAAGCATTGTGGGTAGAGAAGTGTTCAACACCAGTGAACAACTATTTCCTCTGCATATTTAATAATGAATTTTGTTCCTTGCCTTGAATTGTCTTAGCTTAGTTTAACCGTAAAACAGTCAGAATGAATTTAACAGCAGTTTCTTATCACAGTGAAAATGGATTTGCAAAATCTTAATTATAACTGTCAAGCTTGAACTACACCCTGGCTCTTTATATACATCTATATATAAGAACTTATATTTCTTGGATATTAAAATCCACCTGAAAGAGCTGTAAATCTCTTATCCCATTTACACCTCTACATGCGATCACGATTCGCCTGTAGGTC